TGAGAAAAAAGAAGACGCGGCCCGAGCGGGCGGATAATGAAATTCAAAGCCCAACACACGCGCGGCCAACGAGCCCCCGGCAAGAAACACCACCGTGTCAATTATTATCTCCGTGACACAAAGTCGAAATGTGCATTTTGTCACACATCATCTCCTTTCTCCCCCCACACCCGTCTCTCTGCCGAGGGGGAAGAGATGGGAGGGAGGTGGCTCGGGGCGGGAGCCAACGGGGGGAAGTTGTTGGAAATTCGAGGACATGGACCGGAAAGGGCAAAGGACTCTGGGACTTTAGACGAATACTTTCTTGTGGTTATTGTCTCGGGACGCATTGGGGAGCGGTCCGGCCTCCGACGCAGATGAGAGTCCAATCCAAGGGACGCTTTTAAGAGGCCGCATGTTGGGAGAACTTCTAACCAATGTTTGAAGGACTGGACAGAAGTTGACAGGCTTTCATTGGTGTTTGGTAGATATCAGAGAACTGGACTACAAGTTTGTAAGAAGCTCCAAGAAACATCACTGAAACGGTTGCACCGGATCACCTCTTCCTTTATTATCCAGTCCCTTCAGAGCCGATCCCACCTGGGTGCATGCACGCTCACCATATCGCAGTATCCTTTGAATAGCCAAAATGAACACGAATGAATGAATGTACAGAATGAACTACAGGGAATGCCTTCAGGGAGGTTTCGTGAGGTTCTCAACCTCCAGATCCTGTTGTTCAGGGTTAAAATCGTAGGTCGGCGTGAGACGCGAGCTTCTGAGGGGCAGCGAAACCGGCGTTGCTCCCACGACGAGGAGCTTGAGGGAAGCGATCACGCACCAGGTCTCTGCGACGAAGTATAAACCGTCCCCCGATGTTTCGCCTTTAGTCTTCCCGTGCTGGAGGTTTTTCTCCCCCCATCCCGTATTCATCCTTCAATCCCCCGTCCCAGCCCGTTATCTCGTCCTCCCACTCCTTTCACCCAGTACACTTTCCTTTCCCCTCATCCTCTTTCCGTCCGCTTCCTTTTCCCTCCCACCTCTCTTCGTCCTCCTCCTGCCGAGGTCTTTTGGACATTTCTCTTAGTCCTTTCTGTACCCCCCCCGACCCCCCCCCCACCTCCCCTCCGCCGCCTCTCTTTCGCCTGTGATGAATGGGTCTGTCTGCTCGGTGAGGTTCATATTTACTGAGCAGGCCAGCGCACACTGTCAGTCCCTCTCGCCCTCCACATCTCTATCCCCGCACGAAGGAGACGCCGGGTTACGGGGGGGGGGGGGATAAAAAGAAGAAAGGGGCCGCGGTTCAGGCGACAGCAGCGTAGCGAAGCTTTCTCGGGGCGAACATAAAGAGCAGTTGGGAAGGGAGAGAGTCTTCCTCACCTCTTGA